ATCTGTCGCATCTTTGATGTCCATATTCTTTGTTGTGTATAACAAAATCATTTTTTCTAGGAATTTTTTAGTTTTCTTTACAAGCTATTTTTACTTTTAACCTCATTCTGCGAAGTTTCGCAACGTTACCATTTTTAGACCACAATTGGCTCAAGTGGTTTTGAAGGTGTTATCCGGTTTTTTAGTCAGTGGACGCATGCAACCAGCACGCAGGCGGAAAAAAAGAGGATGCATCAGATTTTAATAACACTGGCTGAAGTCAAATAAATTTAGTTTTTTCATTCGTCAGTTCTGTAACGGACAGACTGCGTGCGTTAGAGTACCAGGAGTAACAGCAGTGAACTTGAAATTCCGTCTAGGGTGGGAGCGGAAAACGTTTTTGGAGGAGTTGCAGCGAGTAATCAAGGCTAATAGGGAAGTGAGGAAGGAAGAATAGGCAAGAGCAAATAAGTTTTTAGCAGTAGTAAAATGTACTTATTTTGCGGAAGGCAGCTGCAGTGAAAAGTGTGATTAAAATCTTTTAGTGCTTGTTAATTTATTCCACCTTGATTCCATTACGTGGAAGAATACAGCTTAGTAAGTTGCGCCTGCAACTTAGTTTTTCTTGCAAGTTCCCCAACTTCCCTTTCTTTACTAAGTTTCCAAATATTTTTTTGCAGATGTGTTAGCAGCAGCTTGAAAAATTATGAATTTTGCGACACCGAACGTTGCCTTTTTGCTGCTTATTCCACATTTTTGATGCGGTTCACTTATTTCCCTAAATTTTCTTTACAGTTCCCTAGGTGATTCCCATAATACAGCTGCTAGATATGGATTGGCAAGCATAGGTTTGACAGATTCACCTGAATCTTGCTAACTAAAGGTCGGGAAAAAAAAGTTAACTTAAGTGCAATGGCCAGTAGAGCTGAGGAAGCAGAACAAAATTCAATGTTCTTTCTTCCACAGCTCTTGCTATATAAATAAGGAGGATTGATGCAAGGCGATAAGGATAAAGTTAAATTAAACTTTAAAAAGCTTTTGGTGTAGGCTCGAAGGATAAGTACTAAAGAGGCAAAAAAAAGACAATGTATACGATGTTTCCTAACTAAAAGGTTACTGCGGGTGGGCACGACAGCAGTTGTTACCACCGCTGAGGATTTTAACTGTTCTTTCCGCGGAAAATTTCAACTTTCTCGTAGGAGAGTATTTCAGGATAAATGAAACAATAGTGAGAAGAGGAAGAAGGCTTGAGAACTAAATCACATCTTTTCATATTGGAGGCGAGTAGGGGGACATCTGTAGTAAATGGAATGCTGAAAACCTGGTTCAGGCTTCTAGTGATATTCAGCGTCAAAAAAGACCATCCAATGTTGGAGACAGAAAATAAGTGGAGAAGACCGTGTTTTTTGGATGAGCGAGAGGCAAAGGTGAAAGAAGCGAAGTAGTGTTTTTCCAGAACGTTTATACTCTTCAGATTGACCTCTGTTGTCAAAGGTAACGTATGGGTTAGCGGAACCTTGGAGTTCAACCGGCACCTGAGCTTGCCGTTGTACAGAAATTCGCAAAAGACCGAGAAGGAAAGGACAATTTTAGGTGGAGGTTGAGGACGAGTTTGTTACTTTCTGGAAGCGAATAAGTTTCAAAATCACTTGACTCATTTCTACATAATGTTCATTTCATTTGTGAGATACAAGTGTTCCCTGTTTGCTCTGTTGTAATATACGTCAGTAATTTTACAGTTCTTTTCAACTTAAATTTAGCATTTTCTACAGAGCTGTTTTGAAATTAGTCTTTATTTTTTTGGTCTGAAGTCACTTTACTTTGCCTTAATTCCTCTATTGTCAAGGAACAGTATTTCAGCTTCTCAGTTACCTCCATTTCCAGTCATATTTGTAATGTTTATACTTCTCACAACTTTCATTTTATCTTGTGATTTATATACTTCTCTAAAAACTAACGTTTTTTACTTGTTTGTTTTGCTGAAAGAAACTCCTTTTAAACTTTTATGACACGGTTTTCAGATAGTATGGAGACACCAACAAAAAAAACAATTGATGCATTGAACCTCGCTTCTGTCCAACGCATCGACCCGTGTGCTGTTTCGGTGATAGACAGGGTATCGTCAGTTTCTCACGTTTATTAGTTGCCTTATACATTACCAAACCCCTTTTTATATTGCAGTCGTCAGTAACCCTCCAGATTTGCTTGGTGCTTTTTAATGAGGCATCATTGGTCTTCAGCACTTGAAGTTTCCT